CTCCCACGCAGATGAGAAGATTGGAACTGCGTGAACAACAGTGTCTCTCTCCAACACGGGCCCACGGATTATTTCTGATAAGTACGCATGCTTGGAACCACAAAAGACCCGTCAATGGTACTATGAAGTATAAAGTTCCATGCAAACATTTTTTTTTCCCTCAAATGAGTTTAACACCGAAGACTAGTGACGTTGTGAATTATTTATGATAGTGTTATAATTGTATCAAATATATATTCATGATATAATTCGCCAGCGTCCCGTTTGAGAGCTCTTGCGCCTCCCACCCCCAACAAAAATTATCGTATCCTCTCTGCGCCCCCATCTGAATTATCTCCCCGACCCCCGTCTAATTATTTCACGTTTTGCTGGACAGCTGTATCCGCAAATGTGTGTTTCATAATGACGTTTGTTGCGCACTGCCCACCAACTATTGAAACCGTAGAGTCAGTTTGACTAAATTAAGTCAAAGGAAAAGACAGACAATGAACCGATCTATTTATGGACTGCGTGCTGTTGTGATGCCGCTGGTCTGTGACGCAATTAAAAGCGATCATGATGTTTGTCAGCCGGGTATGCGGGTCTGGCTTGGACTGCCGAGATCAATTGTTTGAAATATACACGAAATTGCCTGATCTATTTTCTCTCATTCTAACAAATAAATTGTAAGTCCTGTACTAAACGTTACCAAAAACTAAAATCTGCTAGGATAACAGATATTGCCCAATGACGTAAGCCACTTGGATGTGATCGACGAAAGCGCACAATTTGTTTTGAATCGCATAGCGTAGGCAAGTTGATGGTTTTTTTAATTATCACAAGCTTATGATGAACGTGAAATTCAGTAGCTATTATGCATTATGTATCGTTAATGCAATTAACTTAAGTCTATAGACTCCAATGTTATTGATAGGAAAGCCCCAATCAAAACCAATGCTAATTGTATTAAATTTTATTTTAAAATTGTGTTTTTCATTTAGTTTAAATTACAGGGCATCAATTTAATTTACACTCGTTACATTAATTGTGGCATGATTTGCCACGAAACAGGGCGTCAAACCCTTCGTAGAATTTTACCTAAGGGTTAGGGTGTGACAACAAGGAACAGCTTCTCTGTAACCCGCAAGATCAGGCTTAGCATAAGGAATCGCTATGTAGTGCTTTTTGGATAAATTCAATAATTTATTTCTCTTGTGATTTAAGTTAAACCTTGCTGAAAGGTGTATTTTATGATCCATATCTTAGTATATTTGCAAATCTCTATTTTTTAGAGCAGGCCTGCACAACATACGGCCCGCGGGCCGCATGTAGCCCGCCAGCACTCACTTTGTGGCCCGCGAGGTAACGAAAAACTCTTTATTCTTATTATTTTCTTAATAGGTTTCCCCCTGACCTATATTCTTTTGGTCCGCACTAGCCCTGTCCTATTTTCTTTTGGCCCGCACAAGTTTTTCATAATGTATTACGGCCCGCCTTACATTTTGAGTTGTGCAGGTCTGTTTTAGAGGAAATGTTAATATTAAGTTAAGTAATTAAATGGGTTTTCGAGTGCGTCTAATTGGGGGGGGGGGGGTTTGGTCTCACACCCTTCTGTTAAAATATATCTCAAAGACCATCCATCCATCCATCCATCCCTGTGGCCTCCCTCGCCACTTCCTTCCACTCAGACCCATCTTATGCTTTTCTTTTCCATGCTTGGATTCCCAGCTACTGGAGATCTTTTTCCACATCATCCACCCATCTAAGCCTCGGTCTACCTTTGAGCTATTTTCCTCTGGGGTTTTGGTGATGTAACCTCTTCACTCCTCCGTCATTTGGCATTCTTTCTAAGTGTCCTGCCCAGCGGTGCTATAGCCTACCCTTTTCATTTCCGCTACTATCGTGGGATCCTGATATTGTCTATACAATTCCTGGTTGGTTCGTATTCTTCATCCATATTCATCTTTTGTTGGTCCGTATATTTTCCGGAGAACTTTTCTCTCCCATGTGTATAATAGATGTATGCTGTTTTTGTTAGGATCCAAGTTTCACTTGCTTATTTTACAACTGGTCTGATTATAGTTTTATACCCAGTATAAAGTTTTCTTTTTTTTTTTTCTTGTAATGTTTTAACTATTGAGTATTTTGTGACTACTGAACTATGCCCTGTTTCTGGTCGATATTCTTTCCTTTATTTATATTCATTGAATCATTTATAATTTCGTTCATCTATTAAGGATACTAGGTATTTGAATTAAATTACTTTTTCAACAATCTGGTTTCTAATTTTAATGGCTTCATCTGTCTGTTCTTCTCTTATCATAGTCATGTATTTTGTTTTTGTGGTTGTTAACTTCCAGCTATGGTGATGCGTCTTCTAATTCAATAAGGGTTTTTAATTTAATATCTCTTTACAACTTTGCCCTAACAGTGCTATGCCATCAGCATATACAAGAAACTGAAGGGGTTAGTTGTAGAGAGTGGCTATTGGTTGTGGGTCTTGGGTGTCCTTCTGAAAGTATCCTGTTATTGTTACTCGGGTATTATTATTTATGTTTCTTTTAACTCTCTCTAAGGTTAGGTTACATAAAATTAAAGACACTGAGTCTTCTTGTCTTAAGGCCTCGTCTAATCTGAAATTCCTATATTCTCCATGAGCCTTGATTTTTCTTTCTGAGTTGTTTAATATTACACGTATCAGTCTTGTCCGTTTTTAGGGTATGTCAAACTCCTACAGAGTATATCTGATATTTTCTTTTGATGCTGCCATAGGGCCATTTTATACTACACACAAAATTGATGTACTGGAATATTGTATTCGTAAGATTTCTCTAATAGGCATCTAATTGGGAAAATCTGATTAATTGTTTATCTGTTTTGTCTAAATCCACATTGGTAGTCACCTAGTATTTGTTCTGTGTAAGGTTGTAGTCTTTTGGCCCTTAGTTTTGTCAGTGTTTTGTTTGTAACATTTAATAGGCAAATTCCTTCAAAATATTCAGCCCACATCCCCAGTATTTTACTTATTTTCCGTAATTAATGCTCCATCATGGCTCCCACACATTTGAGGTCTGGTTTGATATCTATTAATTCCGTCTTTTATCTTCATGTACATTCCTCTGACGTTTCCCTCTCTTGATAAGTCGTCTATTTCTTTTAGTTAACTTTTCCCATTCTCCTTTTCTCTTCCTTACACATTTTTTGGCTTTCGTATAGGCTCTATTGTATATTTGTCTCACCTTTCTAGTTTCCCTTTGTATCATGGTCATTTGTGCCATGCATGGTTCTTTCTCCGACAGTCTCTCTGCATTCGTCATCAAACCAGCCTGCTCTAAATGTAGTTTGCTGGAATTCTACTACTTTTTTTGCTGATCTTTTCATCGCAATTTTATATCCTGCTCCACTGTTCATTTATTTTATTTTCCCTGTTTATTTATTCCCGTAAAGCTTCCAATTGTGCCTCTACTTCAGTTTGGTTAGCCTTTGCAGTTAGTGGGTCTTTGGTAAGTTTTTGGTTGTCATATCGTTTTTCTCTTGGATTTCGGCCTTTGTGAGTTATGCGTATTTTCTGTTTATATTTAACCCTTACAAGTAGATGATCAGAGTCAGCATACGCTCCACCACAGCTTTTTACCCACAGTAGGCCTGTCCCATGCCTCAGATCGATTAGAACGTGGTCAATTAGATGATAAGTGGTTCCACCGAATGTTTTCAAATAACTTTATGTATATTTTTGTGTGTAAACTTGGTGCTGCTAACAGGCATCTCTTTTTCTGAAGCAAAGTCGATGAGAAAATGGTCAATTATTTTGCTAGTGATTTCATCTGGTGAGTTCCAAGTAACGTTCTTTAAATTTTGTGTGTGCCTGATCTATTCCAGATTCTCATAAAAGGATTCTTTGATCTAACATTCTGTATCTTCAGTGGGGGCATGGCCATTTGTAATTTTTATATTAAACATTTTCCTCGCACACGCAAAGATCACAGACTTTCATTTTCTGGCTTAAAACCTATGACGGCCCCGACGGATCATATCCTGTTCGAAGAGCGTTAATGTTGTCACCACCATAAAATATGCTGTCATCTTTTTTGTTTGTTGAGGATGTCTGCATTTTTCCATAGAATTTCTTGCAGTGCATCAATAAAGATTGTATATTAAATTAGCTAATCTATTAGGCTGGCTAAAACTAGCAGGTTTAGTACGTTCGAAGACGCAAGCCAAAAAAATCATGTCCATATCCAGGCATAGGTCAAAGGCCATGGGTCGATTTCCATTAAAATCAGTCCGAGTTTTATTTTGTCGTTTGGCTTTCGTAACGTTTAAGTTTTAATCCTGGCTTTTGGTTTAAGGGTGAATGGTGTTGAGGAGGGATCAATTGGCGACCCAGTAACCGTCATGTCTAAAAGTGGGAGAATTGAGGTCAAGGACTTACTTGACCCGCGAACCGACTGGATCCCATCACTGCTCACAGACATAAACATATTTACGGTACTGATATATATATATATTTTTTTAAAATTATGTACGCAGTTCGGTATATATTTAGCTTCCAATCAAGTTTTCGAATAGAACGATGAGCAATGGGTGTCGAGAAGAGACCTACAAATGTCGATGTAAAAAAACACACCAAATACAGTGACGCAGCTAGAGTAAGGGCGAAACAAGATTTTTGCTGCACCATTCTTAAAAAAACAACTCCGCAGTTTGTAAAAAAAAAAACACCCCTTATACAAAGAAAAAAAACTGCCACCCTGGGCGGACCGCCCCATCCGAAACCTCCTTTCTACGCCCCTTCTCAAACATGTACATTACAATGATTTTTCACAATGATATACTTCAGTTGTGCTTATTGACACAAATCAACGGCAATACTTGTACATTATCAAATATATCTTTGAACTATTAATATAAAAAACTGAGCCTTTATACACTCTACGAATAGATTAATGAATTTTACATTTTTCCCCTTTCGTGTATATTCAAGAAACGCAACAATGGAGCAACGAGGCAATCAATACAAATGGATGAAACGTGCTACACTCCTTGGATGTTTTCTTAAAACCTTCACTACAGGGGTCTCCTGGTACTGGGGCAACATGTCTGTCTACACCGACTCCTACTATCGAGCAACACTGGGACCTCATTCCGGGTTCGGGACCCCATGGGTCATGTCCACATTTCTAATTGGGTTCTCAATAGGTCTGGTCATCACCGAGCGGACGGCCCGTCTTATCGGCAGAACGTGGACCAACATTGTCAGCTTCGTCCTATTTGAATCCGGGATCTTGCTGAGTTATTTGTCTCTCAACAGCGCAGCCTCGGCCATGACGGGCACCATGGGGGTGTTGGCGGGATTGGGTTCGGGGATCACCGAAGGCCAGCTGCTCTACTACGTCTTGGCCTGGAGTGACCATCACGTGGGTTTTGTCTCAGCCCTCGTCTCGTCGAGCTACAGCGGTGGATCCATCTTGATAAATCAGTTTGTGACGTTGTACATAAACCCACACAACCTGTCGCCGGACGTCAAAGACGGGAACAATGTCTACTTCACGCAGACGAGCGTCATCGAGAGAATCCCAAGTATGTTTCTCGTCTTTGGTGCCATCTCATTCTGCGCCCAGCTGATTGGATGTCTGCTCATTCGGGACAATCCGGACAAACAAGAGTACAAAGGAGATACTTCTGACGTGGAGATGAGTACGTTTAGCAGTTCCAGCAGTTTAGGGCAACTGACACCACTTGAATCAGCCGAGGATGAGAAGATCCCAATAATGAAATCCGCTCTCCGTGAGGCTTACAACGCAGCAAAGGGGTATACATCGCCTGAATTGAACCAAATAAGCCTTACTCCAAGCTTTGATTGTAATGGGTCGTCCGATGTAGCTAGCAATATACACACGGACGCTTTAGTTATTAAAGAAAATCACGGTTGTACGTCAAACTGGAGCCAGAATACATCGGCGACCACAGACGATATCAGAGACATGCCATTACAGAGATCGTGTGTTGACAGCTATAAGGGTTTAACTTCAACACATCATGAAAGTGTTCATGTTGACGAAGCCTGCAATGGAAGAAGACAGAACCAGAATAACGACAGTTCCGATCTAGGCCATGCACATGAGAACACAAAATCCACAGAAGATCACACGACTTGGCAAATGTTACAAACCAAGACTTTCTATACATTGTGGTTTTGCGCCATAGCCACCGACTACGGGTACATAATAATGACGAACTTCTACAAGACTTACGGGCAGATAAGGATTAAACACGACCACTTCCTGACGAACGTTGCCGTGGTTACAGTTGCCGCCTCCACCTTAAGTGAAATAGGCTGGGGCGCGGTCTTGGATAGAATAAAGGTCAAACACTGCCTTATGCTGTATTTATCCTCGTTGGCGCTTCTGGGGTCATTTTGGTTTTTCACGCCGATAGTCAGCAAATATCTGTACATGTTGTGCACGATCATGGTGTGCAGCATGAACGCCGGTATGTACGTGCTCTTCTTCATGGGCATTTTCAAATATTTTGGGACGAAGAACTTCTCTCTCAACAATGGTCTGATATTTTCTGGAAGCGTAGTGGTAAATATTGGCGTCCCGCCCGTTATAAACCTCATTCTTAAACACTATGGATGGTTTGTGCTATTCTTTAGCGTCGGTGCTGTAAACGCTCTAGCTTTGATAGTAGCGGTTCTTCTTCTACCAGCGAATTGACGTGTTTTGAATTGGACGCCTAAGTGTAAATTGTAAACAAAACTGATAACACTGAGTTATATATATATATATATATATATATATATATATATATATCGCCAATGGAAAAGAGAAGAAGTAGGGGGAATTGCGGCAGCAGCAGAGTCTGGACAACACGCGAAAAGTCAGTTTAATGATGGCAGAAATTCCCCGCGGCGTAGAAAAAGGGAGGGTGATGGCTGTGGACCTTTTAAAAAAAATCTTGTGTGGCATTTTCGGCCACCTGCCGGGGTTTTTTCTCGTGGATGGGGCGGCAACATTCTTAGCTCGTCGTATGTGAGACAAACCTGTGGTTACGCTTCTGGAAAGTCCGATTGATTTGTGAAAATGTTGAATCGGAGAATAGCCTGAAGAAATATTCCATGCATTTCATTTTTTTTTTTTAAATAATAAAATCCGAGTGCTATTTTCCTATTACACTTCTAGTAAAATTGACTTCGTGTGGTAAATTGTGATTGAAATTCTTTTTTTTAGGCCATATTTCTCTAGGCTCTCGACATCTATGTTAGCTAAATGTCATACTCGCAGCGCCGTGTAGGCCTACTACTAGACATACCAAGAAGCTGTACTAACACACACACAAATTTTGTATTTTACTTTCACTCTCTTGTTGATTTTGTTGCAATAAATAGAAATTTTAGTAAATGAGAATGACAGGTTAACTGAGCTTTGCTGAGAGTATTTATTTAAAGGAATTTTTTTTGAACTCAATTTGGCTGTCTCAAATGGTTCCTGCCTGTTCGTTTGTTTATCGCGGTTGAAAGCATCTATTATCTAGGGGCCTACTTTTAGATTCTTTTAAACAAGTTTTCCGATTTTCTGTAAAACCATTACAGTTACAGAGATTTTTTTTAATTAGGAGAGTGGGAATTTGAATCTACCCACTTCTAATCGTGTCAACAGCACTAAATCCAAATAATGCCACCCACCTACACCCAAACAACAACAAAAAAAAAAAAAAGTTTATTTTCCCAGGGTGCCAAGACGTCCGGTAGAGGTCCAATGCTAAACTTGTAAGCAATATTAAATAAAAATGTTGAAGTGAAAGGGTTAAGAAGCTGTTGCCCTCCTGAACAATGGAATCTCATCGAAGACTCTCCACCCCTGTGGCATTAAGCCCATGTAGGGCTTCGGCCTGCCTCACCAGATCCTTCCACTCAGACCTAACTGGTGCTTTTCTTTTACACGCTTTGATTACCAGCTGCTGTAGACCACTCTCCACGTCATCCATCCATCGAAGCCTAGGTGTGCCCTTTGAGCCCTCGTCACTCCTCTGTCATTCGGCATTCTTTCTAAGTGTCATCGAAGACTATAGCAATTATGAAATATATTCGCCAATGCGATATTTTTGCTCAGGGGTCATCCATAAAAGACGTCCACACAAAAGGGGGGAGGGGGGTTCAGCAAAAAGTGGACTAAAGTGGACAAGGGGGGGGGGAGGGGGTTTAGGACAAAGTGGATGTCCACATTGTAGTGTTTTTTTGAGTGCAGCAGTTTTTGCATAAATTTACTGCTAAAAACTTCTAGTTTAATGACAAAAGAGTTGGGATCCAAACCCAAACAAATCTTTCACAAACTGAGTGGTTAAATTTAGAAATGATTTTTTCAATATTAATAGTTAATACGCTTGAATATTATTTTTAAAATATGTTGTTAAAGTTTGATTGGTCAAATACAATAAAATCTCAAACAACAGTTTTGTTAAATTCTTAGAATTTTTCCAGAAAATCTTTAATGATTTTTATTTTGTATTGGGGTTAAAAATGACTGGAATATTTGAATTTGACTTTATTTTTTATTAAAAAATTAGATATAGGACAACAAATTATTTTCCTAAAAAATGTAAAAATATATTTAAATTTAAAAATACAATCTTAATCTAAAAAACAAATTTCAGTTTATGCTGCATGTATTATCAAGGATGGTCGTGTGACCTATTCCGGACCAACATGCATATCAATAAGGAGTGGTAAACATGATTCCAGTACTGCTGCATCACATGTTGCAGATTTTGATGTACTTGTCTCTCTTGATATTTTCAAGAATGTGGCATGTACAAATGGTGGACTAGTAAAGCCTATAGCAATTATTACCGTTGACGGAGGCCCATACGAGAACCCACGTTATCCAAAAACATTGAATGCTGCGTATAAATTGTTTACCAAGCACAATCTTGATGCTTTCTTTATAGCGTGTCATGCTCCGGGTCACAGTGCCTACAATGCGGTAGAACGACGAATGGCCCCTTTGTCTCATGACCTGTCAGGCCTCATTCTTCCCCATGATCATTTTGGATCCCACTTGGACGCAAATGGTAAAACTATAGACCAAAACTTTGAAAAAGCAAACTTTAAAAAGGCAGGGGAAATACTCGCTGAAGTTAGGGGTCAGGCTGTCATTGATGGCTATAATGTGCACGCACAGTATGTTGAACCAAGCAGCACAAGCACAAATCTTCCGTCTCCCTCTGTGAATTGGTGTTGGAATCATGTGTAAGTCTCAATATTCTCTGCAGATCATCCAATGTAATGATGTAACATGCTGTGGAGCAAGACGAACCAACTGTAATGAACTATTTCCCAAACGCTTCATTCCAGCTCCGTACCTTTTATTAGTCATGAAGCAGGCGTCATGGCTGCAGCTATTGGTGGTAGTAGTGGTACTTATGGATCACTGTTCCAGAGGCTTGCACTGATTGGTCTGGAGCCCGGTCACAGTTACAGTAGCATGCCTTTTGATCTCTATTGTCCATCGGTGGCTGGGAGAATTTCCAAGAGAATATGTTTCTGCGGTAAATATTTCCCATCACAGGCGGCAATGAAAAAACATAAGGTCGTCCATTGCAATATTCCTGCTAGTGAGCATAATATGGCAGACGAATCAGATGAAGAGACTGCCACTCAAATTGAATTAGCAATTGAAGACTCAAGAACAAATGTTGTCATTATACGAAACATGTTTGAATGGCTGCAGTCCGAATTTTCCGTTGATTGAAGAATGGTGGATTATTTGTAACTTTGAAAAAGCAAACTTTAAAAAGGCAGGGGAAATACTCGCTGAAGTTAGGGGTCAGGCTGTCATTGATGGCTATAATGTGCACGCACAGTATGTTGAACCAAGCAGCACAAGCACAAATCTTCCATCTCCCTCTGTGAATTGGTGTTGGAATCATGTGCAACAGTCTCAATATTCTCTGCAGATCATCAAATGTAATGATGTAACATGCTGTGGAGCAAGACGAACCAACTGTCATGAACTATTTCCCAAACGCTTCATTCCAGCTCCGGTACCTTTTATTAGTCATGAAGCAGGCGTCATGGCTGCAGCTATTGGTAGTAGTAGTGGTACTTATGGAGCACTGTTCCAGAGGCTTGCACTGATTGGTCTGGAGCCCGATCACAGCTACATTAGCATGCCTTTTGATCTCTATTGTCCATTGGTGGCTGGGAGAATTTCCAAGAGAATATGTTTCTGCGGTAAATATTTCCCATCACAGGAGGCAATGAAAAAACATAAGGTAGTCCATTGCAATATTCCTGCTAGTGAGCATAAAATGGCAGACAAATCAGATGAAGAGACTGCCACTCAAATTGAATTAGCAATTGAAGACTCAAGAACAAATGTTGTCACTATACGAAACATGTTTGAATGGCTGCAGTCCGAATTTTCCGTTGATTGAAGAATGGTGGATTATTTGTTTATTACATCTTTTAATACAGTGATTCATTAAATCTTTTTGAACAGTTATTATTTCATTTAGAATTTTGCCTGCAAATAATTGGAATTTCTAAAAAAAATGTTTGTAAATACATACTCTTTATATTGTTGTACATTTTCCCAAATTATTCATTAATTTAAGTTCGGTAAATTTTATGTTTTGGACGTCCACACCAGGGGGGGGAGGCAAGTCAAAAGTGGACAAAGGGGGAGGGAGTAAAGAATAGCAAAAAAAAATTTATGGATGGCCCCTCATCTTCCCTGATCCCAGTCGTCTTACCCCACCTAGCCCAACCCCCAAAACAAACGCAACAAGAACAACTTTACAGCGCTTCAGACCGCCTGTTGCTTTCTTGTGATCTGCTGGAGCACGTCTTCGGTGAGAACTTCAAGTCCGCCACCAAGTGCACAATATAAAATGAGTAAAACAGATTATGGTTAAACTTGATAGAAGAAACGCAACAAAACAACGAACGTGTCGGCAGAAAGCCTTCGTCAGCGAACAAAACAACAGAAAAACGGTATAAAAATAAGAAATATCACTTAGCGTGGACATGCTCAGGCAGCAAGTAAATTGTCCATATTTACTGTTACAGAATAGCCTTTTATAGCATATGTGAAGAGCTATTTTTTATATTGACGTCACCGAGTAAGTTGTTTATTTTTTAATCATTCAGTTTATACTGAGTCGTGTGATGAATTTTTAATGTTGATGCAAGACATGAAAGATACTCTTCCTAATGTAGCTTTGGAGCATTTTGAGTCGAACTGGTGGAGCAAGGCCCATTTATGGGCAGCATCATCCAATGCTGATGTTTTAAGACTCCATGCGACAACTAATCACTTGGAGTCTTATCATGCCAAAATAAAAAAGAGTTTGACTCATCTTTCTTTTTCATCTACTCTTCGTAACCTTATGTCTTTTGACAACTGCAAAATTACAGTATGTGATCGTTTAAGATTGCTTGCTGCAAACACAGCTCAGTATACGTCATCTGATAATGATGAAAGTGTAAATAAGATTGAAAGTGAAAGTGTTGCTACTTCCTTTGCTGCTGCTCTATTGCTCAATCAGCTCAAATTGTCACAATCTATTCCGTACTCTGTTGTCTCTGGAGAGGCAGAACTTTTTTCAGTAGCTTACAAGGAACGTTTTTTAGCTCAACATCAGTTTAATGTAATTGTTCATTTGCTGAAAAGATGGCATTACCTTGCAGACATATTTTTTCAGTTCGGAGACATTTACAGCTTCCAGAATTTTGTTCAGAGTTAAATCCATGCCGTTTTAGCATAGTGTTCCTAGAGTGGTTGCTTCTACTTCTAGTGGTTCAGTAACTTCTCAAATTGTATCAACTAGAAATAATAATTTTGAGACTCAAGAGGGTCGGTTTAATCATGCTAAAAGAATTTGTATGGGCTTGGCAAATTTTTTGTCGATGCAAGGAGAACAAGATTTTGTATAGAAAAAATATCCTTTCTTGAAACTACTATAAGTCTCTGGGAAAAGTGCTGAAAATTTAGATGAAAATGAATCAGCATCACAGCTTGATGAAGGTGAACCACAAACAAGTTTCATTCAAAGTCAACTAATTGATTTTGTTGATATAAATGACATTCATTTTTCCCACGAGGAAACAGTTGCTGCAAATAATTTAGAAAAAATTGAAACTGAAAATAGTATTAGTTCCTTTGGGAAGGTTAACTTTGACAGAGTTCGCCCAAAGGGGCGACTGCAGGTTAAACAAAATTTTACCATGAAAAGAAAAAGATAGCTGCCCCAACAATTTTCAACTACTAAATATGTGAATGTTTTTAATGTTCTGGTGTGTAACTTTTTGGTGTGTAAATAAATGGCTGCCGCTATTCAAACCAGGGTCCAATAGACCAATGCTATTCGGATGTCATTTAATATGTATGGAGCCACTCCGGGTGCGAATAGTCATTGGCGACCATAGGTACCCGGGTACCTACAGATGCAGCCTTACTTTAATACATTTTTTGTCTATTTTTGTCTAAAAATGTTTTATCCAATGAATCCGGGGGAGGGGGGGGGGGACGACGACGACGACTTGCCCTTACCTGCGGGCGCCCATACCTATAGCCCCTTCGTTGATTTAATATTTAGTCATACATTCATAATATAAATATAAAGACCCCAAATTTGTATTGCATTGTATTGTAAAT